GATGATGATGACGACGTTGATTGTGAGATCGATTGTGATACCGATAGTGAAATCTATAGTGAGATCGATTGTGAAATCGATTGTGAGGTCGATAGTGAGATCGATAGTGAAATCGATCGTGAGACCGATCGAATGAAATAGATCGAGTGAGATCGATTGTGAGATCGATCGAGTGAGATCGATCGAGCGAGACCGACAGTGAGATCGATGGTGAAATCGATCGTGAGACCGATCGAGTGAGACGTTGGTTCCCCCCCCCGAACCTCCTTATCACCCGAAGGGTGGTCGCATAGGTATCCCAACGACGCGGCATTCCAAAACAACTGGCGGGATGTGTTCGTTGTCCCACCAATCGCTGAGAAGGGCGAATGTTGGATCTAAGGTGCGCTCTGCGAGTTCCTTGAATACCTGTGTAGGTCTGTCATCGGGCCCTGGAGCTTTGCGGCGCTTCAACTTTGCTTGTGTTGCTGTTGTTATTGTTACTGCTCTTGTTGTCAATCATTCCTTGCGCTGGCCCCTAAGTATCAGTGAACAGGTGTTGTGACGATTGGAGCATTACTAAACACTTTGTTTTCGGCCGCTTGGCGCCCCCATTGCTCTGTCGCCACATGTTAGGCCATTCCTTCCGCCATGTGGTGCCGCGGTATAGGTGAGCCGTCTCTTTTTTCACGTGCCACGGCTGCGGCTTGCGCTCATTTCTAAAACTTCTGCGAAACATCAGTGTCGAAGCAGCGAAGCATCAAATTTCACCAGCGGCCAGCATCCTGCGCCCATCGCCCATGGTGAAGACATTGTTCGTTCCGGCGCGATATTACTTGGCGTTTGGATTTGCGTCGGTCCTTTGAAAGTGAAGTAGGCTAGCCCGCGAACACTGACACACAAACACTAACGCACATACCCAAACCAGACACCCGAATCCTACCATCCCAACCCTAACACCCCAGCCCCAAGCCTGACACCCGAATCCTAACACCTTAAATACGTAACCAAAACATCCGAAACCTGACCCCGCACACCCTAACACACATCCACACTAGCACCGAAGATGTAACCCTACCACCTTGACCCAAATACCCTGAACTTACAGCCCAAATCCTCATCCGATCACCCTAAGCCCATCGCCCTGACCCTAACAACCAAATCTCAACACCATCATTCTACCACCTCAACCCTAACGTCCTACCGCCAGAACCCGAACCCGAACACCCCGACCCTAACCCTAACGTCCTAACTCTAAAGCCCGAATCCCGCTGCCAAAACCCCAAGGCCAGGGGCGCGAGAGGCTGGGAGTTGACAGCCCCCTGCCAAGGAAGTTGACAAACCCCCACACCCCTTTCCGGGGCAAACGGGGGAAGCCAGGGTCCGAACCCTCCCCTTTGAAAGGAAGGCTTCCAACCCCCCACCCCACACTCGAAGGGGGGGAGGAGAGGGTTATGCGAGCGCGCCCCTTTCTGTTGCTGGTGGGATATTGAACGGCAGTTTTGTCTCTGAGACTTCCGTCCCAATCAAAAATGTGAATCGATCCTTGCTGTATTGCAGACCCTCGTCGCCGTCGTTTCGTCGGTCTCGGTCCTCGTCGCGAGCGCGTTGCCAGCCCCTCGTTCCCGACGGCCGCGTGGGTCTTGCATCAGCGTTCCGAAAGCTCATTCCGCATTGCGCAGTCGCGCGGACGCAGCGCAGCCATATGACTGCAAGGTCGCTGCCACAAGGAAGTCACGCCCGAGCCTGGCAGAGCCGGGCAGAAATTCGCCGAAAACATGTGCTTTGCACAAGTCCCGCGCAGGTGGGCCGCCTTGGGGCTAGCTGGTGAAACTTTCAGGTCGTTTTGGGAGCAAGCGCGGTGAGTTTTCGGAGGAAGACCTGCGCTGCTTGCTGATTTTCGCGACCCTCGCCCCCCAAGCCAAACTTGGAAGGCAGGGAATGCAAGGGACTTCCACGCGCCCTTCGGTATCAATCACTATGGGCCGTGCCAGCATTGAAATGATCATGTTGCGGGCGAGTTCGGGACGGGCGACGAAAGCGCTGTGGGAGTTTGAATGACCTGCCGGGCAAACCTGCGAGGATAACCCCCAAGTTGATTTCGGGAAAACGAACCACGTGAATTCCAAGTGGATTTCACGTGGAACAATACGTTGCGCCTGAAGGTAACCTTGTCAATCCAAAACGAACGAAAAACAATTCAAGTGAATGATACATTCCCAGTGACTTCACAAGGAGATTCGCATGAACACCTCACGGTCTTCGCGGAGAAACGCACGGATACATTCTTTGCGAAACAAACAAACCCTGCGCCGCGAAATTCCGACGTAAACCCCGTGCGGCCTTGTCCAGAGTGAGTGCTGTCTCCAGAGATACATAGCTGGTTCTTGACTGAGGGTTTCAGTCAAAATGTCCACTTTCAAAATGTACACCTGACTGCAGCAGGAGATGCAAAGAGGCTGCATAAAGGAAGTCTCCGATCGTGCGAGTCCCCCGCACACCTGTTCAACCGTCTGATTGTCTGCCTGAAGCTAGATGTGTCGAGAGTCAGATTTCCAGTCGGTCTCCTTCAGGTTCGCCATGAGTGCGGGTATGTCGTCCATGCCACTATGGAGCATCGCCCGTTACAGGGGTTGTCATCTCATCATAAATATCATTCGCATCATCATCATCATCATTACCATCATCATCATCATCATCATCATCATCATCATCATCATCATCATCATCATCATCATCATCATCATGCTCATAGTCATCATCAACATCATCATCATCATCATCAACGCTGATGGCGGAAAACCGGGGGGGGTCACATGGTCACATGGGGTCACTGGGGGTTCCCAACCCGTCCCCCCCCCTCGAAAATTAGAGGGGGGTTCACTACCGGTTCGAACCCTTTCCCCCCCCCCCCAGTCCATCATGAAAAGGGGGGGGTCACTACCAGTTCGAACCCCTCGCCCCCCAACCGAAATTCGGGAGGGGGTCACTACTGGTTCGAACCCCCCCCCCTCGCCGCTGGCAAACGATTCCCGCTCCTCGGGACACTTGGGCAATGGTGGGGATGCTGGGACAGTGGTGGGAACGGTGGTGTTGGGACCAGTGGTGCGGGGACAGTGGGACGGTGGTGCGGACAGTGGTGGGGACGGTGGTGGTGGGGACAGTGGTGAGGGGACAGCGGGACAGTGGTGGGGACAGCGGGACAGCAGTGGGGACAGTAGTGGTGGGGACAGTGGTGAAGGCGGTGGCGAGGACAGTGGTGGGACGGCAGTACTGTGGGGATAGTAGCGGGGACAATGGGACAGTGATGGGGGCAGTGGGGACGGTGGGACAGCACAGTGGGACGGCGGCGGGGACAGTGGGACAATGGTGGGTAATGGGGACAGTGGGACGGTGGTGGGGACTGCGGGTAAAGTGGGGAGAGTGGGACCGTGGTGGGACAATGGTGGGGAGAGTGGGGACAGTGAGACAATGGTGGGGGCACTGGTGGGGACAGCGGGGACAATGGGGGAACAGTGGTGGCAGTGGGACAGTGGTGGGGACGGTGGTGGTGGGGACAGTGGTGTGGGGACAGTGCGAATGTGGTGGAAACAGTGCGGCAGTGGAGGGTACAGTGGTGGTGGGGATAGTGGTGAGGGCGGTGGCGAGGACGGCGGTGGGACAATGGGACAGAGGTACCGTGGGGACAGTGGTGGGGACAGTGGGGACAGTGGTGCTAACAGTGGGACAGCTCAGTGGGACGGCGGCGGGGACAGTGGGACAGTGGGGACAGTGGTTGGGGCCGTGGAGAAAAGTGGGGAGAGTAGAACCGTGGTGGGAACAGTGGTGGGGACAGTGGGGACGGTGCGACAGTGGTGGGGGCACTGGTGGGGACAGTGAGGACGGTGGTGGGAACAGTGGGGACAGTGGTGGTGAGGACAGTGGTGCTGGGGACAGCAATGGGGGATGTGGTGCGGACGGTGGTAGGGACCCGGGAGTCGTTTGCTGGTGGTGAGCGTGGGGGGGGGGAGGGGTTCGAACAGGTAGTGACCCACACCCAGTTTTCTGGAGGGGGGGGGTTCGAACCGGTAGTGACCCCCCCTGGTTTTCAGGAGGGGGGGGGAACCGGTAGTGACCCCCCCCCCCCTGGTTTTCTGGAGAGGGGGTGGGGGAAGGGGGGTTCGAACCGGTTGTGACCCCCCCTGGTTTTCGAGGGGGGGGAGGGGTTCGAACCAATAGTGACCCCCCTCAAGTTTTCTGGGGGGGGGAGGGGTTCGAACGGTAGTGACCCCCCCCCCGTTTTTCCAGAGGGGGAGGGGGGGGGGGATTCGAACCGGTAGTGACCCCCCCGGTTTTCTGGAGGAGTGGGAGGGGAGGGGAGAGGGGGGGGTTTTGCAGGGGGGAAGGGGTGGGGGGGTCCAGCAGTGGTGGGATTTTCGGAGGGGGGGGGAACCCCGGGTTCCAGAGAAAGAGGGGGGGGAATTTTCCACAGTAAAGCGGCGGTGGATCACGCTCTCTCAATCATGATCATAGGTATCATCACCACCACCACCATCATAAGTATCATCATCAGTACCATCATCATCATCATCATCATCATCATCATCATCATCATCATCATCGTCATCGTCATCGTCATCGTCATCGTCATCGTCATCGTCATCATCATCATCATCATCATCATCATCATCATCATCATCATCATCATCATCATCAACATCAGCATCAGCATCAGCATCAGCATCATCATTTTCATTGTCATTGTCATTGTCATTGTCATTGTCATTGTCATTGTCATTGTCATTGTCATTGTCGTCGTCATCATCATCATCATCATCATCGTTGTCGACATCGTCGTCATCGTTGTCGTCATCACCATCCCGATCATCATCATCGTCATCATCAGCAAGATCAGCATCGCGATTGGCATCATTATCCTTATCCTCGTCATCACCACTGCCGCCATCAACATCATCATGCTCTGCAGCATGTCGTCTTCCTGATCTCCACCAGCCAGGGGGTAAGACCACTGAGCCCGCCGCCGTGGGCTGTGAATCGCCAGGGAGGCACCTCGAAAGAGCCTCCCAGGCCTCCTGCACTGTGGCGTACCTGGCAGGGGGGCGGAAGGAGGTGATGCGCGACGCGAGAAGAGAGAGGACAGCAGAGACGAGTGGAAGCAAAAGAGAAGGAGAGGAGGAATGGGAGGAGAAGGAGCAGAAGGGGGAGGAGAAGCAAGACGAGGAGGAGAGGCCAGCCACAAGGGGTGCACTTCATATTCTCGAGCGCACCAAGGCGCAGCGCAGACGCCAGAGGGAAGCGACAGCAACGGCAGCAAGAAGGAGGCCTAGCGGAAACGAGGCAGCGACAGGGCGGCCAGCTAAAACGAAGGAGCGGGATGCAGACGTGGCGAAACGAGGGGGGGCACCGCCGGACATGGATGAGGATGCACTCGGACACAGGATCGGCGGAGGCGTTACTGGCGTCCGTCGCCACACCTTGGCACGCGCAGCATGTGGACGGAGCACGGAGGCCACAGGAAAGGCTACCTCTCCCAATCCCCCTCAACCACACGGAATACCAAATAGGGAACGAAACCTGCCTTCGGCCCAAAAAGCGCCTGGGTGCATGAGGAACGTCAGAAGAGCACTCCTGGAAGGACCCGGGAACAGCGAACCCATTCCGAGGCCGTGCCCAGTGAAGGCGCCACTCGAGCATGTGCCTGCTGCTCCACGTCCCTCCGTCCGATCCGTGGTCGACCCCGCTCCTCTCCCGCCTCCCCTTCCGCGCACACCCTCGCCCCGCGAACAGCGAAGGCTCTAGCACGAGGCAGGAAAAGAGCTAATCGTCGTGAGAACGGTTGAACTGTTCTCCTGTAGCGACGCTGCGAACGAAGCCGTATGACTCAGTGCTTGCCTTTCGAAGCGTGCAGCAGAGGATGTGTGAAACAGGAGGGAGAAGCAGAACGGAGGAGGGCGCGGACAGGGAAAAGATACCCGAGCGTTTTGTGCGGAACCTCCATGGCCCATTCGGCCGTGTATATGAACAACACGTTAATCGGGAGAGTGGTGCCACAAGAATTGGAACACCGCAGGAGGATGTGAAGGTAGGGGAATTTGTGGCTGCATCATGGGGGCGCAGAGGAAGAAGAGGAGGAGGAGGAGGAAGAGGAGGAGGGGGGAAGCGGCTGAATCCGGGTGGAAATAAAACAATGAACTCCCGAGTTTATCCACGGGAAAGCCAGCGCAGCGATCCCCCTTGGGAAGAATTAGCTCTGGAGTTAATCCACGGGAACGCCGGTAGCAGGATTCACTTTGTAAAAAGGAATTGGCTCCGGAGTTAATCCACGGGGGAGGGGTGGATCAGGGCGCCGCCTTGCGCCGTGAATTTACTCCAGAGTTCATCCACGGGGGAAGGGTGGATCTGGGCAGCGCCCTGGGCCTCGTGAGCCAACTACGGAGTTAATCCACGGGCAAAGGGCGAATCAGGGCGCCGCCCTGGGCCTCGTAAGTCAACTACGGAGTGAATCCACCGGGCAAGGGTGGATCAGGGCGCCGCCCTGGGCCCCATGAGTCAACTCCGGAGTAAATCCACGGGGAAGGGGTGGATCAAGGCGCCGCCCTGGGCCCCGTGAGTTAACTCCAGAGTTAATCCACGGGGGAGGGGTGGATCAGGGCGCCGCCTTGGGCCCGGCGAATTAACTCCGGGTTCCATCCACGGGGGGGGGATCAGGGCGCCGCCCTGGGCCCCGTGAACTAACTCTGGAGTTAATCCACGGAGAAAGGGTGGATCAGGGTGCCGCCCTGGGCCCCGTGAGTTAACTCCGGAATTAATCCATGGGGGAGGGGTGGATCAGGGCGCCGCCTTGGGCTGCAGAGTTAATCCACGGGGAAGGGGTGGACCAGAGGCCGCTTGGGGCGGGGGGGGAATCAGAAGCCTCCTGGGGGGGGAATGAGAAACCTCTTGGGGAGCCTCCAAGAGGCTTCCTGGGGCGCCTCCAAAAGGCCTCCTGGGAGGTCCTGGGTGGCCTCTCAAAGGCCGCCTGCGGCGCCTCTCGGAAGCCCCTGGGTGTCTTCTCGCGGCTCTCCTGGGGCGCATCATGGCGCATCTCAGAGGTCTCCTGGGGCGCCGTTCAGAGGCTCCCTGGGGCGCCTCTGCCTCTGAGAGGCGCCCCAGGAGGCCTCCAGGAGAGACGCGCTCCTGAAGTTGCGAGAACCCGCGTGAACAAACCTTAAACCCTAAACCCTGACCGTTCTGTTCCAGAACGAACGCGACGCAAATATGCAAACAGGATAATGAAGATGAAACTGTTGTAGGTGGTATACGCAATGGCGCTGACCATATAGGCGCGACGCTGACGATGGTGAACTTGATGGTGATGATGCTGATGATGACGACAAAGGCGGCGTACATAATCTTTTTAGGCAACAGCTGTATTCAGGAATGCTTGGGCCAACTGTGCATCCAGCTTCCAGGGCAGTCTCTTGCCAGACTGATGAATACGCTTTCTCTCTCTCTCTCTCTTTCTCTCTCTCTCTCTCTCTCTACTGGGCAATCCGAATTTCTGAAGTGCCCAGGTAACCTTCCAACCGAAGTATGTTTGAACCGAATGGCAAGTCGTTTCCTCGTCGTCTTCCTTCTCTTCTTCGTCGTCGTCCTCATCCTCTTCCTGCTCATCTTGGTTCTTCACTTCCTCGTCGCCACTGTCATCATCATCGTCCTCCTCCTCGTCTCGTCCTGCTCATATCCTCGTCCTACTCCTATCCCCGTCCTCCTTCTCCCCTCGTCCTCATCTCCTCGTCGTCCTCCTTTTCCTCGTCGTCCTCATCATCGTCGCCCCCATCCTCTTTCCTTCTCCCCCCCCGCCTCACTTCTGGGGCCCACCGCAGGCCGAGGCGCGCGAAACGGGGAGGGGCGCAGGCGGCGGCGGCGGAGGAGGAGGAGGAGGAGTTAGCAGGAGAGGAGGAGGAGTTAGCAGGAGAGGACGAGGAGGAGGAGGAGGAGGAGGAGGAGGAGGAGGAGGAAGAGAACGACGAGGAGGAGGAGGAGGAGGAGGAGGAAGAGGAGGAGGATGAGGGGAGGAGGAGTGGACGAGGAGGAGAAGGAGGAGGGGGAGGGGGAGGAGGAGGCGGGGGGGTAGGAGGAGGAGGAGGAAGAGGAGGACAGACAGACAACCACTTGCGATCCAAGGTCTTTGTCAGATGGTTCTTCCCACCTTCGGCGGGAAGAATTAGCAACATGAAATCGTGAAATCGGCTCCGTGCTGCGCATATGGAGGCGCCTACCAGCGGTTTCGCTGGGGGACTCCACTGGCTTAAGGAGGGACGGTCCGTCGGGGAAACCTAAACCGCCCTCCAGAAGCACCAGTCCCCTGCATAACAAATTTGACGAGTTGTGAGGCCGTCACAATCTGAACACAAACTGTCAGGCCCCTGAGGATTCGGGGGCATTCTCTACATGTTCTGCTGCGTCCTGGGCGGTGGAGGGCGGAACCAGGAGCGGGAAAGGGAAGCGGACTCAACCGAGGAAAGAAGGATATCAGTTGGGATAGTCTCCCAAGACGCCCGACTTAAAAGCTGTTCCATGTTGAGTTCGAATTCGACTGGTGCCCCAAACGGATGAAACATCTGAGAACAATAAAAAAAACAACGGTTCCCCATTGTGTATCGGAGAATGGGAACAGGCGGTCTAGCCTGCAAACGCGACCGGGCCTCATCATTCAGCTGTCCATTCCTGAGCATATCAATCAGTCTCTGGGGGACTGCAATCTCATCAAGAACAGCGCGGTTTAATCGTCGAGCTCTGCGGCTATCTCCTCCTCGGTGTTGTTCCCTAGTTTCTGTTTGCCCTTGCCCTGGCTACTGCTGGCAGCAGCCTTGCTGCTGGTCACCTGTTTGGCAATGCTGTCGCTGCTGATGCCGATGCGCTGCAGGAGGATCTCGGCGTCCCTCTCGAGCGCCGCCCTCGGTGCGTTGCCTGGCTTGTACTGGCCCTTCTGGTCGATCATCACCTGGCAGATCGCCTCGTGGAGAGTAGTTCCCGTCTGGCCCACAGTGAGTCTCTGCTGCGCTGATGCCAGCATGAACTGAATCTTGTAAGTTTGCGGCCCGTCAAACTTCTTGTTGTAGTGGCAGTGACGCGGCCTGAAGTACTTCACGTGCGTCTGCAGGTTCATCAACGCCTCCCTCTTGGGTTTTGGCCACCGCGTTCCAGTACGGGGTGAGGACTTTTTCTGCGACTCGGACAGCTCGGGCAATTGAATCAGGTAGTGCACCATCGCCATCAAGATGTGGGGTCACAGTGGCCCGTTCTGGTGGTCCTCGCCATCGGTCTCGCGCGTTTCGCTGTAGTCGATGCCTGCTTGACGGAGGGCCTTGATGATCGGAGCGCCGCTTGGGAGCAAAACGCAAGTATAGTTGGCGCCGATAAGCTCCGCCAGGTCGCGACTGTTGCTCAGAGTGAGCCTGGCCAGGATCGCGATGAGCGCTGTCAGTGGTCCTCCTGCGCTGGGAGATTACTCTTGGATATCTTCCTTGAGGCGGGCCAACGTGGAGTCCTTGGGGCCTGAGTCTGCTGCGGAAACCACCTCGGCCTTGCGATTGGACTTCGTCTGGAGCCACTCTGGAGCCTCTTCCACCTCCATCGCCTGTCAATGGAAGCGCGTGAAAGTGTGAACGGGCATGGAGTTGAAGTGCACTTGAATCGTGTACTTGAGCCTGGCACAGCGGGCAAGTGAACTCATCTTCATGTTGTCGTACCTCTTAGGCACTGCTTCTAGAGGCCGTGCAAATGCCTGTCCGGAATGAACTGACGCGCGCCTGTAGTTGCTGTTCCGGTTTTCGAAGGCCGAATGGCAAACGAAACACTGATTGGCGAACGCGGCCTGGGATGCAATCATTCGAAACCCGCGACGGTTATACATGCGCGCCAACACCTGGCGCCAGGGCACGAACGATGCTGGACAGCCTTTTACAGTGCACCTATAATTGCCTTGGCTATCGTCGGGTTGTGCTTGTAGGTGAGGGAGGGAGTGTTGCTGTTGCCCAGGAGGTGGAATACTAACACTGAGCCAGTGGGCCCTGCTTTTTCTAGGATCAAACATCACAAACCACTCGGTGAACCCCGGGTCCTCGAAGAGCTGGAGGGGGGGGGCTGTCGAACAGATCTATCGTCTCGGCCTCCTGGTTACCTAGGTCCGCGAGCGCGTTGATGTCATTGACGAATCTTTGAGCCCATGGACAAGCGGCCTGACTGAGCTCCCCATGGTCATCAATGATGTGGAGGCCATTGTGGATCTCAACCCTCATGGTCCCCAAGAGCGCTCCCCATTACGAAATATGCCCCTCTGGATTTCTGACCCAAGACTGGTGCCATTTGACGCGGCGGGATCGTGCTCTCAACTCAATCGGCGCGGAGCGCCAGTGACGAAATATCTGGATATTGGACAACGAGACGGGATGATCGTTGCGATGATATGTCGCCGCTCCTTGCATGGCAC